ATACAGCCCTTGAGAAACCTTTGTCTTCAGCTGTACCTAGCTGCAAATAATAATACTTTTAATAAATCTAAGTTAATATTAATGATAGCTAATGTTACTAAGTGTTGACTACAATGTCTAAAAATGGATCACAATGCTTTGATTACATATATACATTCTTACCATGTAAAAAGCATATGCAGTTTGAATATGCATATTTAATTAAAGTGTTCAAAATAACTGCTTTTTGCAGACAGTGTAGTCAGTGTTTAGTCTATCAGCTACATTACCATATAGATCTTATTTAGTTGTTGTTTGTTGGTGCTGTTCTTCCTCTATGCAAAACCTTTATTCACTTGTTTCTCTTTTGCAGCAAATTATGCGCACGGCCAACAAGTACAACCTGGGCTTGGATCTGAGAACAGCGGCTTACGTCAACGCCATTGAGAAAGTCTTCAAGGTGTACAACGAGGCTGGTCTGACCTTTACATAAATCTCCTTTCACAAAAAACAAGACAAAAACGTTCATCAACCTCTCAATTTCCCCGTTTTAACATATCAGAGTTTACATCATCTTCTCTATCATAACCCCGTCGTATCCCAGAAGCTCCGTCCTAATGAGAAACTCTAGCATGGTTTATACGGTTTCACTGCTTTGCTGTAAGTGCAAACTGGAGCCCATATTCAGGTTTCTCAAGTAATTCTTGTTGTAACTTGTTTATTTAGCTTCTGGTTTTTGTATTGATCTGTGGTAAACTGTTGTGGTCCTCTTCAAATGCAGCTGTTTTAAATGTATGTTGATTTAATCAGTTGAGTTGGTGCGTTTTTGTCCTCTGTCATGTTTTATTTACTTTATTCCTACTGTTTGTCGTCACAGACCATTTTATCGATGGTCATTGCTAATGAAGGAATGAAGAGCGTTAAAAATGCCTTACAGTTGCGAGCAGGAGTTTTATACTCTCACTGTTAGTTCATATTAAAGGGAAGCCCAGCCATTTTGTTTGCCTCATCTCACTGTTTTTAACCCAGAGACGTAATGGAGTACTAGCCGGAAATGTGCTGTACAATTTAGATACAGACTTTATTTTGTATTCAGAGCAGTTTGTATCCCTTGACGTTTAGAGATCTGTTTGTTGTTAGTGTGCGGCTAATGCTAATGCTACAGCTAGAGAAGCCAGGCCACATGTGCTTACATCAAAAGCTGGAAGCTGCTCACCAAACGTATCTGCACCCACGTCTGGAACTGTGTTTTGGGAGTTTATATTGGCTTTTTTTTGTTGAGAATAAATTCCAGTTCTCATAATTTATGCCCTGTTTTTTTGTATTTTGTATCTGTTTCTCAGAGTATCGGTTTTATTGTGTCAGAATACCACATGATTAATATCCACCTTATTTTTGCCGTAAGGGCAGGTGCCATTATTCCTTAATTGAACATGTCTGGATTCTTTTTCATCTGCATCTAGGGATTTTTTTTGATGTACAAAATACCCAGTTTTGCAATTTGGTTGTAAATTAAAGCTTTTGTTATAATTAAATAAAATCTATATAGGATATTAAAACTAAAGTAAAGAAGACAGAAAAATGACAGAATTTTATTATTAAAATGTCAGCAAAATACAAAAATCTAAATACAAATATATATAATAATAATAATAACCTAACACTGCATGTATAACACCTTGATTAAATTAACTATTCCATACCATATTACCAGGGCTTGACATTACCTTTTTAGATCACCAGCCACTGTGGTTAGTTTTTCAACGTTACTAGCCCCTCGCCATTTTCACTAGCCACAATATTATTGTTGCACGGTGTCCATGGGGTCTTAAAAAGTATTTAAAGTTGATAAATCAATTTTGAGAAAATTAAGACTTTTTAATAGTTTTTAAGGGCCTTAATCGCGTTTTTACGAGGTCTTGAATTTTGTTCAAGCGTTGTTCAAAGTGTTTGACTTTGAAAAAGCATAAATATATTTATTTTCCTCCTAATATTAACAACGGTGTGCTAAACTCCTCTGTCTGGGTGATGTCACATAACTTGCGACAAATGCGGGAAGGTGATGTGACTGTCCATATGTAGTAAAACCATAGAACGAAACAAACAGAAAATTGGAAATGTAAGTTTGCGTATTCTTGGTTGGAGAAAGATGAGTTGAATGTTAAAACCACGTAATTTATTCTTTCAAGCTTTGTTTCTTCCGAGCTTATCTGTGTTCTATTGCATGGTTGTGCTTCATTGATTTGTTTTACTACAACTGTTTATTAATGAAGGTTTGATATGGATTAGAACTTGAACTTGAACTTGAGGTCCTAAAATATTCTCAGAAGGTCTTTAAAAGTCTTAAAAAGGTATTGAAATTACCTTTCGGATTCCTGCATATGTGTTGGTAAAATATATTTTATATGCATAAATTTGACTTTGGTATGGTAAAATTACTTGATTTAAATTATGTGTTATGTCCACATGCCTCCTTAACTTTTTTTTTATTATTATTTCACATGACTTTTCAGGGCTCAACACTAAGGATTCACCATTTTTTTTCTCTGACCACTCTAACCTAATTATTTCTTTGTCACAAAATTTAAAGAATCTGTTAAAACATTATGTAGTTGTATGTTTTTTATTCAACAAAAATTTTCTTAAAAAAACAACTTGCGTTTAAAACCTTATTCTCATTTATCTAAAATTATACATAATAGTTTGTCCAGGCTAAGGGTCCCACATCATCAGATTACTAGATAAATGGAGAGTTAATCTCTTATTGAAACAATGTTATTCTGAAGGATGATAATTAAACAATATTAATAAAAATAACTGCAAGCAAAAGAAAGATGAAAAACATTCTGTGTGCGTTAAAGGATGATCACGTGCACGGTTAACGTTAGGGTCAGTAATAATCTGTTTAAAGAATGGTTAAAGCGAAAGCGGCAACAGAATCTGCATACAAAAAATCTGGAGCTCTTAAAAGCACCAGGACTGTGGGTGCACGAGCACTGCTTTTTTAAAGTCTATTTCAAATGGAAACAATTGCAACAGTTGTGTTTTCAAACACTGTTGTTATGCACAAGGAAAGGGGAGCTTTAAAGCACTCGCGCACATCAAATCAGCTGTGCCTCACTCAAAACGTCAGTGAGTGGGGATCGCCGTGCGCCTGATCATCCACTCATTCGGTATTCACCTGCTTTCTTTTCCTCACGCGAAAAGTTAAGACAAGTCCAAAGACATGCGGTATAGGTGAATTGGGTTGGCTAAATTGACCTTAATGAATCAGTGTGAATGAGCGTGTATGGATGTTTCCCGGAGAGGTTGCAGCTGGAAGGGCATCTGCTGTGTAAAACGCGTGCTAGATAAGTTGGCGGTTCATTTTGCTATGGCCACCCCGGATTAATAAAGGGACTAAGCGGAAAAAAAATTAATAAATGAATTTCATTTTCAAATTAATAGCCAAGCTGGCAACAATTATTTAGTTTTGTTGTATTTTATTTTTGTACTTTCTCTTATCAAACCTTTTTGTACAAAATACTTTTCTATGCCTTAAATCTCTAAAGATATATTGGTCCAACTTTATATTAAGTGGCCTTAACTAATATGTACTTACACAGAAATTAATAGTTTGTTACAATGTACTTATTGTGTAAATACATGTATTTATTGTGTACTTATGCTTGATTAAATACCTGTATGTAATTACATCTGTAATTGACTTCTGTAATTACATTTGTAAATACCTTCTGACCATCAAACCTGTCCATAACCCAACCCCTATCCCAACTCAAGAGCAACACAAGTGTTCTCAAATACATTACGAACACAGTAAGCATATTGTATTTATTTTTTGATGCAAGTACATAGTAGTTAAGGACACTTAATATAAAGTGTGACCGATATATTTTATGTAGTTTCAATGTGCTGTTTTTGACTCTTCTAAAGCATAAAATACCTTCTTGTTCATCTGAAAAACAATTCTGAAGTCACTTATTCTACTTTTAAAAATGTCTGTTATATGCCAAAGCGCTGTCTTTGTTTTGGTTCTTTTAATCCGCCTACTGCCAGTTTAGCCAATTATATTTCAGCACCCTGGGTTGCCTTGTTGGAAAACCACTTATTTCATTCATTCTGAAAGGCTCTGAAAGCATGCATCCATGACCGAAATGCGACCTCTAGTGGACAATATCAGTCTCCAAAATGAGATGCAGATTCAGAGTTCCACACGAGGTTGTTAATTAGCAAACGATATAAATGTTATGAACGTAAACATTAGGTGAGCAGGTTACATTGTAACCTTATGTCCTAACAACAAACTTCCTTACGAGATTTGCAGTTAGAAATTTGCAGTAATAAATAAGAAATTTAGTTGTTTGCACCAGACGAAACACGACAGAAATTTAAATACAGCCATTCAGAAGCACAGAATATGCACTCACATACAAAATGTTAAGGTTTATAATCTAATTAGTACATATTAAACCTCTTTAACATTGTATAATGTAGATGCTGAATCACTGATATTTATTAGCTTACATTAAGTTCAATTTCAAAAAGTTTGTTTTATTTTCAAGATCTGAGGTGAATTATCTACTGCTGCTTTCAGTAATATGGCAATAAATGTCGTGTAAAATGGCATTCAAACTTCCAATGTTATCATTTAACACTGAATAAAGCACATGAGTTGTACTTGAGGTGATTTTCTGTTCAGCAGGTAGAAGTAGAAGTTGTTTGTGGTATATTAAATCGAGGTGTTGGTTAGGAAAAAAACTCCTTTTAATATGGAAAATCTTCCTTCTATCGGGTGTTGTTGATTTAATTTAGAACACGATGTAAATCAGCCTTTAGGCTTGACCGTCAGACTAGCTCCTGTTAGTACTCAATCTGGCAACCTGTGCTTGCATTTGTTTTGATGCAGGAATACAATACCACTGGGTGTCAAACTTACATACTGCACCTTCAAGTAACTTCACACACTATATAAAAAATGCAAGCTTCCACACAATTCATTCATTCTGTCCAAACATATCGATCAAGTTAACTTAATTGTTTTTTACAAACTTCAGTGATTGATTGAACATGAAACTATTAAGCTTCCCCACCCAAAAAAATGCTTAAAAATCACAGATATGTAAAATTTTGGCTCTTCTCCAATTTGCATCTGTTGAGATTTGTATTTTGATGTTTCTATTCACATGATGAAGGGGCTTTAAACTAAGTCAAATATTTATAATAGTACAATACTATTATGGCAAAAACCCAATAACACTTGCTGGACAAGAAGTCTAATCATTTTGGATAGATTTTATTGATTCTGTTTTGGTTTGTGGTTCCACTTATTTTAAGACATGACATGTTTAACAAAATTACAGAGATCATTAAAAATGTACAGGACACAAATCAAGAATGAATTTAAACCTGTAAACTTGATTCAATTTCTGCCTGCTCTTTAATTGTAATTTAATTTATTTTAACTTTAGAAGTTATTTAAAAATAGTGTTATACTAAATCCATTTTATTAAAAGGAAAAGCTCTAACATGTAATGCAAACAGCCCTGATACTAATACAGCTTCATATATCACCTGTTTCAAGATGACTGCTTTTGTGGAGGTACTTCTTAATCAGTTGTGAAAATTAAAAGAGATTTACAGAATGATAGGCTTCAGGTAACATCATGAAGAGGGAAAGAGTTCCCATTTAAAGTTTGCCAGGTTATTTTATCAGGCCCTTTGCAAAAGACGTTGCCTGATCTGCAGTTTTTTTGCCTGCGTCTGAAGTGTCTGAAGCAACTTTGCCAATCGCACCACTGATCATATCGCCAACACCTACAGACAGAACGGATTGATCAGTGAACAACAAATTTGATATGGAAGAGTTTATTTTCTAATTGCAACAATTTTTCCAAGTTTTTTATTATTATTATTTTTTTTTATTTTTATTTTTAAAGAAAAGCTATATATTACCTGCATCCTGATTCTTGCCAGTTGGAGCTTTCTTGTTTCCTCCAAGTGCAGAGCCAATTTTCTCCTTGGCCACCCCAGCTGAAGCAACATTACAAGAATTAATCATCTCGGTACATAAGGTTAGCTGTCCATTACAGAAATAACTAGCATGCTCCAATTATTGCAACTCATTACATTGGTTATATTTTCAGACATTGACATTTTGACATTGCATACACTGCAAAAATAATAATAAATAAACAATTTATTGAATATAAAATAAATATAGAATTTAATACAATTATTGATTATTATTATTATTATTAAATTAGTTATTAAAATTATCTTGTTTTCTGGTAAGAACACTGAAAAAAATATTTAGCTGCTTGTTCAAACTACTTATTCAAAATGAGCTACAACAACACAATTCTTGAGTTTTTGTGGGGACAACTTATTTTTATGTACAGTTAACCTCGATATTTGTAAAAAATATTTTCAGTTAGCTTAACTAATACATGTTGGGACATTTTTTAAAGTAGTTTGAACAAACAGTAAATGTCCTTTTTGAGTGAAGTAGCAAGATACAATTACTTAAGCAACATTGTCAACATTTTTTTTAATCAAAATTATGTCAATTTATACTCGTATAGTTCAGTTATTTAGGATATTTATACCAATAAATTAAAGTATAAGCACTTATAATTAGAGATTATTCCCACATGAAATTAAAATTTAAGTTTCTTTTGTTGCATACAAAAGAAGATATTTTGAAGAATGCTGGAAAACGGTAGCCATTGACTTTCATCCTTTTTTTCCCTACTTTGCATGTCAGTTGTTACCCGTTTCCTGCATTTTTAAACATATTTGTGTTCAACAGAAGAAACTCTAAAAAGTAGTGGAATCCAAGTAAAAAAAGCCTGATTATTTGATTCTTTTCCCCAAGGAAATAAAAATTTAAGACAAAAAAATTATGTCCAATGGAATAATAAAAAAATGCAAAATTTGTTTTTTTTTTTCTTGTTTAAAAATAAACCCTTAATTGTGGTACATTTTTCCAGAAAATAAGATTTACTATGGTTTTTTTGTTAATTATAAATTGCTTCTCTAGTAAATACTGATGGCTGAATTTTTGTAGAGGAAAAACTAGACAAAATACTGTAGCAAGAAAATCATATATTAAACATTAAATATGTCTCTGACTTACCAGCGTGATCGATTACCTTGTCGATCTGGCCACCATCAGCTGCACCCTTCATGACGTTCATGTTTTTTGTGTTGAAGTTAGTCAGGAACACTGTGTTGGCTGGATTTACATGCGTACTTATAGGCTGTGGTGTTTAACATCTTCACACACACACACCCTGAAGCGCTGGGTGAGGAACACCCACTCAAACTCATCCACATTTCTGTCACTTCATGTCTGATTTCCACTCCTCACATCCAAGATGATATTCAGAGAAATGTCTTCTTATTCATTTAATTACTAAAACCTCCCTAAATTTTAATATTAAACTGCCAAATGAGGGTATTGTTTGTACTGTAAACAAGGCATGGCATCAATCTCATTTCTATACGAGTACTGGAAATACAAGCTTTTACCGTTGGTGCATTGTTGCTGGAGGAGAATACAAGGTTACGTGACACATAAAAAAACAATCTGAAGAATTTATGAGGAGATATTAATCAAGCCTAAGTGTTTGTGTGCAGATTTGGTTTTTGAGAAATATCTGAAACCATTTATGACTATTTAGGTTTGTTTGTTTTCTGTCAACTATTTATGTCAGAAATTATCAAGTATGAGAAATCTTTATGCTTTAAAACATTAACCACTTACATTTTTTTTTTTTAACAAATATTTTATTTCTTTTTTGGTCCATGCATTTTTGTTTGTTTTTGTTGTTTTTTTTTACTACAAACATTAGTGTAGAAAAATAGTGTAACTGCTATGTTTCCTTCCCATGTGCTAGAGTTTCCTGATTTACTACGGTATAAACTAATGTTTTTTGTTGTTGTTGTTTGTTTGCTTGTTTGATCACATGCGGGACTGATTTTGCAGGTGTGCGTGTCATCATATCCGAATAAATGGCCGTGTGGCTCTGTAAAAGTGTCTTTCCACAACCCTTTTAGAAACTGCCATTTTTAAGCCTGTTTTTTGTTGTTGATGTTTTTTTTTTTTGGTTACTTTTCACTTTTCATTGACAGAATTTCCGAGCTGTGAAACAATAAAAACTAATTTTTATTCCAAAAAGCCAAAGCAAAAGAAAAATAATGATCTGCTGACAAATAGTCAACGGATGCAATTTGTTTATCAACCGCTAGATAGCTGTATGTTAGACCTACATTGTGTATAGAAACCGAGGATTGTATTTGAAATAAATAGGTCTGTCATAAAATAAGGAAATAATTAAATGAGAATATAAACGTTTTACAGAATTTTTAAATCCCATGACATAACAGTAAACATTTTGTATCAGCCACAATTTAATCATTCCTAAGTTAAGCTGTTCTAGGTCTGTGTTACTTTTTATTTTTTAGACTAACACAGTTAGGCTGTACGAAATACATCTTTCTCATGAATGTGGGTATTTGCATGGATGTGGCAGCATTGATTTACTACAATTATGAAGATAGGAAGATCCAGGATATTCTTAATATACCTCACGTTTTCTGAAAGAAGAGTGGCATATCCATCCAGGATGCATGAGGGTGAGTACATTCTGGCATAGTTTTCTTTACTTTCATTTCTTTTATGTGAACTTTTTCCTTAACCCTCTTGTGTGTGAAACTTCAGACTTCTTTACAGACTCCAAATCTACCATAAAAATTAAATCTACACATTCCTACACTATTTGCTATTTTCTTACACACTTGAATTTTCCTGGTTTGAGATTTAAATCATACATCTATCAAGGTTATCTCAAATAATTGCAATTAGATCACACAACCACAATCAGATAATTAATTAAAAACATGACGGTCTTTATTGTATCTGTGTTGTCTTTATGCCAGGCATGTGATGAATTACTTCAATAAGCCAGAAAACCGTATAAAAGGTCAGGACCAAACAGTTTATTTCTGTTCAAAGCAAGTATACTCGTGTACCTAAATAGCCTGCATTATATATTTAAAAAATAATTGTTTTTAATTAGAAGAATTAATAGTTCAAAACGACCAGGAGGCCCAGAGGAAAAGGATGTGAATGGACATAAATATGCAGTAGCTGTAAATACCCTGCTACTTGTAAATGAAGATGAAATAACGAAACAAAGCATGTGTGTAGATATTTTAACTGACGAAGTCTATGGTTAATCATTTTGCAGATATTCGCAGAGGGAGCCTGTTGAACTTTTGCTAGGCTTACACGACATTGGAAAAATCAGACATTGCGATATTTTGTTTTTCTGTGATATACAGTAGAAGTTAGAACTATTAGCCCGCCTGACTTACTAGCGCCCCTGTTTATTTTTTTCCCAAATTTCTGTTTAATGGAGGGAAGATTGTTTCAGCACATTTCTAAGCATAAGAGTTTTAGAAACCTATTTCTAATAACTGATTTATTTTATCTTTGCCATGATGACAGTAAATAATATTTACTTTATATTTTTCAAGATACTTCTGTACAGTTTTAAGTGACATTTAAAGGCTTAACTTAGGTAATAAGGTGAACTAGGCAGGTTCTGATAATTAGGCAAGTTATTGTATAATGATGGTTTGTTCTGTAGACTATCGAAAAAAAAAAATAGCTTAAAGGGGCTAATAATTTTGTCCCAAAATAGTTTTTAAAAAAATTTAAAACTGCTTTTATTCTAGGCGAAATAAAACAAATAAGACTTTCTCCAGAAGAAAAAAATATTATCAGACATACTGTGAAAATTTCCTTGCTCTGTCAAACATCATTTGGGAAATATTAAAAAAAGAAAAAGAAAACAAAAAAAAAAACAAAAGGGGGCTAATAATTCTGACTTCAACTGTATATTGAGAAATAAATATCAATTCACAAGATGAATTCAGTTGCTCTATTTGGAAAAATTTCTTTCATTTAGATAGATTGGGATGATCAATTATTTTTCTATGCGTTTGCATAAATTATAATTAAATACAACAGAGCAAAGGTAAACATTATAGAAATAGTGCTTTATAGTCCTCTGGAGAGTCTAACAGTATTCAGGTACAAAAATTGAACAATCGGACATAAAATAACATGGTCATCATTGTATAATTTGTTCAGAAATCTTAATATTTAATAACATCTTCAATAAATAATCTAATCTTGAGATGTGACAATTGCGAATTCACACATTGCGATATCGATGCTCAAACAATATATTGTGCAGCCCTAACTGCTACCATCTGTAGAGACATCAGAAGCTGAAAGCATTGTGGTGTCACTTGCAGACATTTTAAATCAACATTTCTATTGTGTAATAGACTGTTCGATTGATCCATATCGAGGAAAAATGTCCAGAGATTGTCACTGTTGTTATCATCACAAATGATACTGAATACTGATGATCTCCATATAATTTTAAATATGTGCAGCATTCTGGCTGCATTCATAAGATGGCGTGAAGCTTTTGTGCGGTGTCTGGGTGTGTGTGTGCTGAATCTGATGTTCCCAGAGGCTGTTGTGCTGAAGGAGTGGTGGATAATTGCTGTGGTCGGTTTAAATGTGTTTTGGCTTGATGGTGTGTTTATTGAATCGTACTTCAAATCGTGATCCAGTAGTTCTACTTCATAAAAACATTGCCCAGGTAAAAAAAAAGTGCACTAAAATACACTTATTTAAGTATAAATATATTGTTTAAATAAATGTTTAGTATGTTAAAAGCACATTTTAGATCAGCTTCATGGTGTCTCATAATAGCACAGTTGAGTACACTTAGATGTAGTAAAGTTTATCTTAAAAAGTACTTAATACTAATTTTTAGTACATTAAATACAAAATTAGTTTGGGAAAATCAAGCACTTTTAATACAGTATTTAGCACACTTTTTTTTTTTTTTTTTTTACAATTTGTATATCCTTTTAATATTACTATTATACTTTAAATTAGTCATAAATATATTTAAATGTTTAAAAGTAGGGTTCAAGTGTATTTCTAGCTGTAACTAAACACATTTTTAAAAATACAGATATAGTATGTTAAAAGCACATTTTAGTTCAATTTCAGGGTGTCTCAAAATAGCACAGTTGAGTACACTTAGATGGTATTAAGTTTATCCTAACATATACTTAATACTATCTTTTGGTATATTAAGTACAAAATTAGTGCGAAAATAGAGCACTTTTAGTACATTACTGAAAAGTGTACTAAGTATACTTAAATAAAGTGCATTTTAGTGCACTTTTTCTTTTTTTTTTTCTTTTTACCTCGGATAATGTGTGTACAAAGAAAACAGCATCTTTGCTTCATCAAAACACTTTAATATTTTTGTGCAATAAACCACAAGTCCAAAAAATACCTTATAAGGGAACAAAAACTTTGCAAAAACTGAGACCACAAAAATATAAATAAAATGCAACATTACAGCACATATATGAAATGTAAAGACATTTTGGGAAAATGTACTTCTACTGAAAATTACTTAAAAACTTAAAATTACCACACTCAAAACTCTAGTGTACTTTATTGTAGTACACTAAAAATTTATTTAAGTATTACTGGCATTTGGTATACTTTTATCAAGTGTACTAAAGTCCTACTGAAGTATAAACATACTTTTAATTAGTATATTTATAGTGTAAAACCATCAAACTTTTTAACACAAAAAAAAAAACAATGTACTAAAAATGTATTTGCGAGTATTTAAGTGTATTTTAGTTGCATCTAATTATATATATTTTTTCACCTGGGTCTTCATGCTTCATTACTACTTGACCTCAAACTTCATTCATTCATTTTCTTGTTGGCTTAGTCCCTTTATTAATCTAGGGTCGCCACAGCTGAATGAACCATCAACTTATCCAGCAAGTTTTTACACAGCGGATGCCCTTCCAGCCGCAACCGATCTCTGGGAAACATCCACACACACACTCATACACTACGGACAATTTAGCTTACCCAATTCACCTGTACCGCATGTCTTTGGACTGTGGGGGAAACCAGAGCACCCGGAGGAAACCCACGCGAAGGCAGGGAGAACATGCAAACTCCACACAGAAACGCCAACTGAGCCAAGGTTCGAACCAGCGACCCAACGACTTTCTTGCTGTAAGACGACAGCAAGTCGTACTGCGCCACTGCCTCGCCCACCTCAAACTTTAATGTCATAATAATAACCAAGTTAAAGTCTTTCAAAATTGGACACTATTTTACTCCCAAATATATTTTAGCTGAACCAAAAATGAATTATGTTAACCGTGAATGACCATACATTTCAATACATCCTAAAAAAAATATATACCACTTAATGCAGAAATCAATATTTGGACAGCAGTTTAGATTTCAACAAAACTCTTTATTTCACTTATACAGTTTATAAAATCAGCTTGCCTGCTTTGATGCCAACAAAAACTATGTGGGACATTTGTTTGTGTCTGTGCGTGTGTGTATGTGTTTTCGACAGAGACAGGCTCAAAGAAAGAAAGCTTGAGATGACTGTTTTTCATCCTTAGCTTTGTGTGTGCATGTGTGCAAGTGAATACAGGAATGCTGATAAGGCAACATGCAGTCTTCAATTTTTTTTGTGGCGTCAAAGAAAATACAAACTGCAATGTTTGATAGCTTCGTCTTATAGTTCCCTACAGCAGACACAAGCCTGGGGTGCATGGGTCTGGATAAGGGTTCATGATGATAATGATGACGATGATGGTGATGATTAAGACGGCCATCTTATAGTATAGTTCTACTCTTCTTATGCATTCCCTCGATAAAACACAGTGCCTAAAGTCAGCATACAGTAGCACAATGCTACAAAAAAATAACACACCAATCACACACTTCGCAATGGTGCATTAGTATTGCTGTTACATCACAAATTCATGATCACACACCGACTTCACATGCATTGCAACATAACATAATATGTCCTCTTTGTTTCAATAAACACCTTTTTAACCCTTTAATTGACAGTTCCACTTGTGGATTAAACCAGCGCATGGTGACAAGATATATCGAAATCGAAAGAATCGAAATTGTAGCTTTCACATTTGAGGTTTTATATATATTAATCGGCAATATATATATTTTTCTTCATTTGTGAAATAATTTACTGTTACTTTACTACAGCAATCAGCATATAAAATCATGACAAATTGGAAGAAACCTAATTTGGAAAACATTTATTTATTTTATCATTAATATTATTTTACACTTGACACATTCTGACAAGTGTCTTGAAATATATTATTGAGCAATATATATTTTTTTTCTTCATTTGTGAAATAATTTACTATTACTTTACTACAGCAATCCACTTGTAAAATTGTGAAAAATTGGTAGAAACCTAACTTGGAAAACATTTATTTATTTTATTTTTATTTTTTGCCATATTCTGACAAGAGTCTTCTTTAAAATGAGATCAATCTTAGATCTGCGCACCAAAATTGTTCAAGATTTACACCAATTTAAGAAAGACTAGTCATTTTCAGAGTAGGACGGACAGTTAAAGGGTTAATCCTAACTGTAATGAAGAAACGCAAATCTAGCATAGCTACATCGATACGGATAATAATAGTTTGTAGTACAGTATCTATGGTATGCGTTCACATTTTTGTTGTTACTCTATTAAATCACATGAGAAGTCTATTGGTCAACTCCTATTCTGCACACACACGAACTAAAGGAATGTCATGTATCTGTTAATGTACACTTAAATGTACACCAATGCAGCATTTTCGAGACGAAAAAAAAAACATATCTCACAAAAGATTCAGACACACATTGCTACATGCCCTGATGAAATGAGATGTATTGCTTTTCTTACATTACTGGTCATGCGGGTATCTTTAATTCTTTATTTATTTTTTTCCCCATCCATGCTTCTAAAAAGCACCTCCAATCTCTAATATCAGCCTCTGGGCTTTACGGTTCCTGTTCATTTTTTGGGGGGGAGGTTTGAGAGGAAGTACGTGTTGGAGTGTGTGTGTGTGTTTTGTGTGTTGTGAACAGGCAGAGGATTGACAGTAACACTAGAGAACAGCATGACGACACCACAGATGTAAAGGAGGGAAGCGTCACACATCTAAAGGCTACAGGGCTCAGGGAAAGTCTTTTTCAACTCTGGTTTTCCATACAGTCACAGAAAAATATCAGTAAGATCTGGAAGTCTGGTCGGGTGAGGCTTTGGAGCAGAAACGTAGAGGTGGAGAGGGGGGGACCGTTTCAGCTTCAGGTTTATGGATTAATATCCCTGAGGAGAAGAGGAAAAAGATGTTCATTGTAAACAGATTTAGGACATTTGCATATTATATTATATATATTATATTATTCATTCATTCATTTTCTTGTCGGCTTAGTCCCTTTATTAATCCGGGGTCGCCACAGCGGAATGAACCGCCAACTTATCCAGCCAGTTTTTATGCAGCGGATTCCATTCCAGCCGCAAGCCATCTCTGGGAAACATCCACACAGACACTCGTACACTACGGACAATTTAGCTTACCCAATTCACCTGTACCGCATGTCTTTGGACTGTGGGGGAAACCGGAGCACCTGGAGGAAACCCACGCGAAGGCAGGGAGAACATGCAAACTCCCCACAGAAACGTCAACTGAGCCGAGGTTTGACCCAGCAACCCAGCGAACTTCTTGCTGAGGCGACAGCACTACCTACTGCGCCACTGCCTCGCCCTATATTATATTATATTATGTTATATTATATTATATTATATTATATTATATTATATTATATTATATTATATTATTTATTTTTTTATCAGGAAATTACTTTGTAAAACTTTAAATTGGATTACATCTCTTTGGGACATACGCAAACATGCAAACCTTTGCATATATATTTCATTCTATTCTATTCTATTCTATTATATTATAAAACAATTGGTATTGATTTACTAAACAATTTATGTAGGAAGTAATTATATAATAGTTATATTATAATTATATAATATAATTTAAAACTTGACACCTATTTGGAATGAAATGAAACATAAATGTAAATATTCTGGTGATATTAAATAATATTAATAATATTAATAGACAATTAAGAATATTAGTAAATAGATGTAAAAGAAAATAATCTGTAACTAAAACAGTACTATACGGTTATAAAACAATTATATTTATTATACATTATTGTTTAATATAGAATAATATATGTATTAAATATATGATTGTTAAAACTTATTTGGAACTTATTCAACTGACCAGGAATGTAAATAACTAAAAAATTTTAGAATAATAAAAATAATGTAAAGTTTTTTTTAATTTATTTATCTGGAAAACATACACACTATTATAAATATACATTTAAAATGGTAAAAAAAAAAAAAATAATAAAAAAGTAAATAAAATATGATAGGAGGCATACGTTGGCACAAGGCCACAGGCTGAGAGCCTTAGTATCCAACAGTGAAGATATACAGCCACGTCGCACTGCTATGAGTGTGGTATTGGGTTTATACAACAGCTCGATGGCACAATCGTGTATATAAAAACGAAAATCAAACAAGGAGAGTTTTAGAATCCTTTTGTACGAGGAACTACTTTCTTTCGCCATTCATTCACATCTGCAGCTGATGTCAGAACAGCAGAAACCGTTACTGATTCAGCAACGTCACTTTAAAGGTAGTATTTGAAAGACTCTCTAGCGAAATGTCTAAAGTCTTGACAAAACAGGGGATTTTGCTGACATTTTAAAATTATAAGTCTGAACGGCATGAAATGCCATCAGTCTACAGAGATATCTCCTAGTATTTCTCTGTTGCAATCGGGATGTCACAATAATTATCCCCAAAAAACCCAAAGCAGCGCAAACACTACAAGATTACTGTTGTGTTTGCAATAAGGAAAAACGCTCAACACATGCAGACATTTCTTCTTTCCTTTTTTACTGAAATAGTCTGCAGTAGCGAAAACAGGAGACTCATTAGAAACAAACAGATGGCCAAATAAAAAGAAACTCAGGGTTATACAAAGAGTGGCCAACATAAAATACATACATTCCTGATATGTGAGTCCTATCTCACACTCAATACGCTACTATTATATGGTATAAATACAGCACTAAAACATACAAAAGAGAGAGATCAACTTTTTTTGTTCTCTAAGGGTTTTATGTGGTCTCTGTCGCCATCTTGTAGATGAACAACATCAACCATCTTTGCTCTGCTCATTGACAAGCTGATGGACACCAACAAGCTGTCTCTTAGAAATTATAAATATTTTAAAATAGGTGCTATGGGGCAAAAACAAAAATTTTGAAATGTTAATTTTATGTTAGAAACAGCATGTTCATTAAACACAGTATTTCCTAAGTATTCTGTGTCTATGGAATGCATTTTCTCACCTCTCCACCCTCTCCTCCTTCCATACCACCATGAGAGAAGTCACCCTGTAAAAGAAGCACACCATTATCATCCAGATTACAGCTTTTTTTTCTGCTTTACATCCACACACATCATTCATTTACTGTACATACAGCAGGGAATCTTCATGAGCTCAATCACATTGCTCTCATCACAGCCAGACTGAATGATATCATTGATTCATGCAGGGATGCAGCAGAGGGACAGTGTGTTATTATGACTACTGCTTCTGCAGAGATGGAGGTCATGTGGAAAGTGAATGCTGAGCTTGTCTGTCTCAGTGTCTGCAGTACAGCTGTTCTATACTCTTTTGCTGAGTCACTGTCAGGTCCTCTGACTCACTGCAGTCTTAGGGACAACATTTACAGCTTATGCCATTGGAATTTAAGAAAAAAGAAAAACTGCATGTCTTCAGTAAATCCTGATTTTTTTTATTGGCAGTGGGAAGGTCTGGGTGACTGACAAATCTCATATCATGATAGACGTCATTTTATATCCTGATAATGATATATGTCACAATATAGTACCATTTCTGTAAATTCAATCGATTAATAGTTTATGTAAAGGAATATTTCTTTTTTTAATTTTAAGGTATATACAAAGAAATGTACTCGTTCATAAGTGATCATGTTTCTCACTTTATTTAGAACTTCAGGGCAAATGTTTGATTAAAAATTTAGAAATATAAAATAAATCTTTATTTAAAAAAAATAAACTAATGATTACAGGTCCAACCTAAACAAGTATTTCTAAATAAAACAAAATTAGATTGTATTTTCATCACAACTTTCTCAACGATGCTGTTATTCATGCTGTTATTCATGTTTCTGTTTGTTTATGTTTATATTGCGAAAAATTGTTAACATAAACATTATAATTTGTGACACCGCGATATACAGTACATGATAAAGCATAATATAAAACGACAGACTTTTTATTTTGTTGTGACAGTAAAGTGAAAGCTTCACTTTTTCTACATTTTTTTTTTGTTACATCCTCTTTCCAAAATTGATTAAATTCATTTATTTCCTCTAAATTCTACACACAATTGCCCATAATGACAATGTAAAAAAATGAGTTTTTTTGGAATTGCTGCAAATTTATTAAAAATAAAAAAACCTGAAAAATCACATGTATATATGTATTCACAGCCTTTACTCAATACTTTGTTGATGCACCTTTGGCAGCAATTACAGCCTCAAAACTTTTTGAATATAATGCCACAAGTTTGGCACACCTGTCTTGGGGAATTTTTGCCCATTCCTCTTTACAGTACCTCTCAAGCTCTATCAGGTTGGATGGAAAGCGACAGTGTACAGCCATTTTCAGATCTCTCCAGAGATGTTCAATAGGTCTGGGCTCTGGCTGGGCTACTTAAGGACATTTACTGAGTTGTTGTGAAGCCACTCCATTGATATTTTGACGGTGTGCTTTGGGTCATTGTCCTGCTGGAAGATGAACCGTCGCCCAGTCTGAGATCAAGAGCACTCTGAAGCAAATTTTCATTCAGGATGTCTCTGTACATTGCTGCATTCATCTTTCCCTTTATCCTGACTAGTCTTACAGTTGAGTCTTCCATGCTGCCACCACCAATGTTCACTGTAAGGATGGAATTAGCCTGGGGATAAGCGGTGCCTGGATTTCTCCAAAGGTAATGCCTGGCATTCACTCCAAAGTGTTCAATTTTAGTCTCATCAGAACAGAAAACTGTTTCTTATGGTCTGAAAGTCCTTCAGATGCCTTTTGGCAAATTACACGCAGGGAGTCTTCTGTTAGGCCACTCTACCATACTGGCCTGATTGGTGGATTGCTGCACAGAAGATTGTCCTTCTGTATGGTTCTCCTCTCTCCACAGAAGAACGCTGGAGCTCAGACAAAGTCACCATCGGGTTATTGATTACCTCCCTGACTGAGAATGGTCTGGCTGCAGAGTTGCACTTGCACCTTCAGGCTTGCACTCTCGGGCTTGCACTCTCAGGCATGCACGGTTCCTGTGCAAGTGACGTCATTTACAATCGGCACTGGCACTCTCCTGTCACGTCACTTGCAATCAACACAAATAAACCGAAAGTAAGATTCCAGTTTGTTTGCATGGCCAGAGACAACGTTGTCAAATAATTTGAAGTACTTAAGTTGTATACCATGACAGATTCCCGACACCCCCCAAAAAGTGGTTTGTGTATTCATCATATGAATATGCTTTAATGTAAATTTACCAAAGCAGGCTTCTATTAACATTAATAGCAGCAAAGCTTATTATTTAATTATATAAACTATCAGGTCTAAATATACACAAAGTATTCTTCCACAGTTCTAAAAAAAAACAGGCTAAAGTAAATTTAAATTTTAGTTTTTATTTTTAACATTTTAAGGCAGGGGTCACCAATCCTGGTCCTGGAGGGCCGGTGTCCCTGCAGGGTTTAGCTCCAACTTGCCTCAACACACCTGCCTGGATGTTTCAAGTATACCTAGTAAGACCTTGATTAGCTTGTTCAGGTGTGTTTGATTATGGTTGGAGCTAAAATCTGCAGGACACCGGCCCTCCAGGAACAAGTTTGTTGACCACTGTTTTAAGAAGTTGTAGTATTACAGCTAACGGATACACATTATGGACTTACAGCAATGATTCTTGAACAACTTGAGAAACTATTCTTTATTCAGCAGGTCCCAGGATGATTGTAAACAAGAAAGCAGATGTCAATGCAAGTGACGTGGGAGGGAGAGTGCAGGACTCGTTTGCAGGAAAGTCCTTAACCAAAAAATACCTCAGTTCAAGGTTAAGGGTGCCCTTAGTAAAAGTTGGTTTGCAAAGAGAGAAAAAAAGATCAACTTAAGGCTGCCATTAAGTGTTTCCCCTTAGTCCTTAGTAACCATTTCCTCTTAAAACATCTAAGGGACCTAATCAGCTCCCTTGAACAAATGAGACTCAAAATGCAAGCATTCTCACCCAAATAAAATTGCGTTAGATAAAAGACTCACATGATTGTAGGAAAATAATTTAATAAAACCATTTAATAAATTAACTTATACGTGTTGATAAGTTAGCATGTCTGCGCAGGAGTGCATTAATATAAAATCGCAGTTTCAGTGCAGCTTCAAAAGTCTCCACATGATCCCAGCTCAGTTTTAAAAGTTCTCCAAACATAATGTCGAGATAGACTCAAAAAGGGAACGTCTCGACCCGCTTAAGGGAAAGAAAACGTCACAGATGATGTGTAACATTACTGCAGAGCTGTTGTAAGGCAAGCATTCGTGGTTCGTTACAATCTGTTCGCGTAACTTGGAACTTTCAGAGCAGCAGAAATTTTTCTGTAACCTTACCCAGTCTTGTGCCTCAAGACAACCCTGTCTCAGAGGTCCAAAGATAATTCCTTTGTCCTCATGCTTGGTTTGTGCTTTGAAATGCACTGTCAACCCTCATGTCCAATCAACTTAATTTACCACGAGTGAACTCCAATTAAGCTGCTGAAACATCTCAAGAATGATCAGTAGAAATAGAATGTACATGAGACAATTTAGAGCTTCACAGCAAAGGCTGTCAATACTTACATGTGATTTTTCAGCTTTTTATTTTTAATACATTTGCAACAATTAAAAAAAAAACTCTTTATTTCACATTGTCATTATGGGGCATTGTGTGCAGAATTTTAGAGGAAATAAATGAATAGATCCATTTTGGAATAAGGCTGTAACATAAAACATGGAAAAAGTTAAGCGCTATGAATGCTTTCCAGATGCACTGGATATCATCATATAACACAGCCCTAGTAGTGGGGGAAAACATTTGGAATTCTATGATTTTTGTAACTGATTTTTTTTTTTTTTTTTTTTTGCATATAGAAGTAGAAATATAGAATAAAATTTTCTTACAAATGCATCATTTCTTAGAGAAGAGGGTTTCAGTTTTTCAAAAGTAATGTGCTCTAAAACAGATTTGTCCTTTTCAGTAAATCTGGATTATGAATTTTATTAATGACCACATCAAAAATGAACATAATATGCAGTTTGCAGTCTATATTTTACCTCAATAAGATTTACAAGTTAAACAGGCTACTCGACACAAAAATAAAATACAATTTTAATAACTTGTACCTACTTACAATCTAATCTGGAATTCCAAAAACAATGCTCTGTATTAGATAATATGACTATGAACTTGTATGTAATTAGGTTCTTTCTGATCTGATATTAATTTTTTTAAACCATAATTTGCTCTATAATCAGAGAAAACAAGTTACCATAAGCCATTTAACTCTAAAAACTTATCTGTGTCAGGAGTTGTTGTAACTACTATACAACAGGTTAGGGATTGTTCTAACACATGCATTGTATGCTGGTCTGAAGGCCAAACTTTACTACTAGATAAGCCATGATTCCTGCATGCACAATCTCCAGACATTCAAAAACATTAGTATTAATGCTGCAGAAGGTGTTCATTCGAAAGACAATATTGTCAGACAACAATATTTTAAATATGAGTAACAGCAAGGAATCGTGCATTATTTATGAGCAGTTAGAAAAGCACAAAGACTGCTTAAATGTCAGTCGCTTTTGATTGCATCTGTTCTCTCCTGGCAGATTGAACATTCTTCAACACTGCAGATGGACTGAATGTTTTTATCATGACCGACTGAATAGGCTGTTAGTTGATGCAATGGGAATGACTGGGGTAAATATAAGGATGTATCTGATATTTGCTTGTGTAGTTGTGTAACAAATCATTTCTTTTTCAAATAACTTTCAGTGATTAAAGATTACAACAGTTCGTTTAGAGGACCTGCAGTGTAGTTAAACTATTACAATTAATTTTTAGTAATAGGAATTAAGAAATATGAAATTATAAATACACATTTCAGCCACAGGATTTAAAAATAAAAAGGTAATTGAAACCTTTTAATAAATGTGTTTTTTTAAGTGTAGACAAAATACGTTTCATACCTTTTTTCAAAATCTATGATATATATATATATATATATATATATATATATATATATATATATATATATATATGTGTGTGTGTGTGTGTGTGTGTGTGTGTGTGTGTGTGTGTGTGTGTGTGTGTGTGTGTGTGTGTGTATATGTGTATATACAATTAATAATATATAATTGTTTTTTACACACATTTATATTTTTAAATATATATTTTATATATATTATAGTTTTTTATAGAAAATAAATAATATATAAAAAAAAAATAAAACAACAAATAATGCTAAAAATAAAGTTTAAACTCTAAAATAACTAAAACAGAAATAAAGCTAAATTAAGAAAACTGATAAAAAATATATTTCAATACATAAGCACAGAAAAATGACTAAAATGAACTAAAACATTAAATTATAAATATGTTATGAATAAATATTAAATTTAAACATTAAATTAAAATAAAATATTCATTAAAATACTATAAATAAATACTGTAATATATAAATTAACCATTGCTACATGCCCTGATAAAATTAGATGAATTGCTTACTTTACAGTTCATGCAGGTCTCTTTTTTATTATTTATTTTTAAAACATATTCATTATTAAAATAATATTTTGTATTTGTTTTAGTAAAATATTATTTTATAAAACTGAACTGAGATTAAGCATCAATGGACAAGTGTATGTTCATAAACAAATATTAACAAACACTGTAAATCTCATTAACACTAACAACTGCATCGCTCATTGTTAATGTTGCTTGTATTAACCATTTTTTGGAAAGTGTTATTAAAAAACACAAGTGTTATCTTTTTTTTTTTTTCACTGCTGTGCACAATTTTTTTTCTTGTCCCTATAGCATATTACTGAAGTCTCACAATATTAGATGATTTACTGCATGGGAACTGATGGGAGGGTCAGGTAATCAATGCAGCCATTGGGTTTCATTATTCACAATGAAGCGAATGACTCCACAGGGACTGAATGAAGGAAATTGAACTCTGCTCTTATATGGATGCTTGTGCATCACTATAGGCTTTCATAAAGCAGTCAGCTAAAGCTGGGTTTCGTATTCAGCATTTCTCTCTGAAAAAAACAAGCCACCAGTGTCGATTCACTGAATAAGCACCTCATATAAAGCCTCATCCTGTCAACAGCACAGTTGTAGACGGGGAAGAACAAACACAAGATGTTAGACACAAAACACAAGCATTCATACAGCGCTGTACAGGGTCAGAAATGAATAGAAAAAAATGAATCAAAACAATCTAAAAAGCCCCCGAAAATTAAGGGAGTAAAAATATTTTCACAGTTTAAGAACTGTCAGTAAAATCTGTTGTGATTTACAGTGAAATTCAAAGCCAAATTCTCTCATCATAAAAAGTATAGATATTAAAGAGATTAATTTCTGTATTGTAGACAGCTTAAGGGATTATAAAAATGTAAACACACAGACACACTTTATGCATTACTGTTTTTTATATATTAAAATGGGTTTTGTATTTTTATCTGACACAATCCATGTACTATTGTTACACTCATCAGTATATCGCACACTCATCATTATAATACAGTCCTAACTAAAATATCTATTTATAAAATATGAAACATACTTTTATGCTATTTCATTGAATATATATAATTAAAGAATTATGCATCCCATTGGAATAAATATAAATCTATAATTTTTTTATTTGAACTAAAGCTGCTCCAAAACAGTCCAGATTAATAACATATCCATATTAACAAAACATCCAAACAACAGAAAATATTTACAAAAATTTTAAGAGAAAGTCTTTGAAAAGGTTTCAGGCAAAATAAAATGATTTTACTTGCATTTAATTACATCTGAAATTTTTGGAATTGCAATGGCTTGTTAATACACTAGATTTATTTTTCTATCAACAATTTAGTCCCTGAGTTGTTTTGATCTTAAATATGATCTTTATAGATAATTTAGCAACAAGTATTTTTCCATTAATACCCAGTTTAAGAAAAAAAAAATAGATCAAAACGCTGTAAAACTTCTTTATGATTGTGTTATTAAATATAATTGTAAGACTGGGGTTCTTAAGGCATTCACACGTTTTGTTTCCTTATATACAGAAAAAGACCCACAAAATCTATCTTAATGTATTAAGTGGTGTAATTACAATTAGGAAAAAAAGCTCTCATAAGGATTTTAAAAAAGCCAAATTGCTTTAATTAGAAGTTGATTTCTGACCCTTGTGCAGCAAAATCAAACGAAACCGTCTGTTCAACAGTCAAATAGATGTGGAGTTTGTGGTTATCCCGGTTAGTCATAGCTCCCTTAGGCTACAGACATAATTAATTCTAAGTTCTCTGAAATGTAATAAACAAGACGGATTAAATAACAGATAGTGTTCATTCACAATGTGATAAAAGGAGGAGAAATGGTGACATCTGGAGGCTGATTGCGTATTCACTCACCGGGTTCACCATGCCGGTCGATGCCGCCACGTTCTCCAGTCCCTCTACTGTATTCTGGCCCGCTACATTAGCACCGCCTACTGCCGTTTCACCCACTATATTTGCCTGGTCGGTGGTCTTCTGGACAACTGTATGGGGCCGCATTATAGAGAGTAAATGCAAAGACTTCGCAAATTGTGCTGTGTACAGCATCGCATGATTATTTCTCACCTGTGTTTACACCTGAAACCATTCCCTCCTTTGTCTTGTTGCCTGAAAGATGAGAAAAAGAAACAGAATTGTAGACTAGTACAAATATTGGTGTGCGCTGCATATAAATAGAATACCTGGCTTTATTTATTTTCTCTGTTCCAAAAGATTTACCGTAACCAGTATCTGAAGTGGATCAAAACCTTTCATCAAAGCTGTTGTAAAACTATTCAGCAACACACATTCTTTTCTTCCACTTGTTCCAAATGTTGACTATACTGTAGTTTTACATGGAGATAGTGATATATATTAGTAAACAGCATTTAATGGAACTGTATAGAGCTTCAATAACCAAGTTCATTGCACATATTTTAGTTAAATGAAAAATATGTACAATTACATAAAGATCAAAATTAAATACAAGGTGCAAAGTGTACATGCAGAAGACAAATTACAACAATATGCTGTAAAATTGTATACAGTAAAGAAATTTTAATAAACTATTTGAAGGGTTTTCTTTTACTGGATTTTTTTCTTTTACTACAGGGACTGCATTTATTTTAAACGTTATACATACATACATACATACATACATATATATATATATATATATATATATATATATATATATATATATATATATATATATATATATATATATATATATATATATATATATATATATATATATATTTTTTTTTTTTTTTATTAAATTAAATTATTAATTATAAATTTTTTTATTAAGTACTTAAATAATATATATATATATATATATATATATATATATATATATATATATATATATATATATTTTTTTTTTTTTTTAATTTAAATTAGAATATGAATCCGTCTTGTTCACTTTTTTATTAAATTAAATTATTAATTATTATTTTTTATTAAGTACTTAAAAAAATATATATATATATATTTTTTTATTTAAGTACAATTTATGTAACTAGAATATGAATCTTTAGGGGTCATTGATTGGTTTAGTGCTTAAGAAACATTTCGTATCAATGTCAATAAATGTATTTATACAAAAATAGAAATTATGAAATTTTCAGGATACATTGACGAATAGAAAGTTTGATAGAAATGTAAAGAATAGCATTTATTTGACAATCTTTCTACTGAGATTTTGATCAAATAATAAAAAAAATCTTCTCTCTGTTAAACAGAAATTGGGGGAAAAAATAAACAGGGCGGCTAATAAATCTGCCTTCAACTGTAAATAGTAAGGTAAAATACCACATATATATATACACACAAAATTTTAAGTTTAAGTAAGTACATTTTAGTTTTAAATTAATTAAGAATAATAAAAAAGGATAAATAAATAAATAAATAAATAAATAAATAAATAAATAAATAAAGTATTACAAAGACAAAAAAAGCAATATGTCTCCTTAAAGATTTTTAGAAAAGGGCTCCACTTTCTGGAACTGTTCTGGTTTTTATTTTATTGCAAACCAAATCTTTTCCATTCTAAGAGCCAGTAAGAAATTAAAAACCCATTGCCGATAAGAAAGTTGAGCTGCTGACCTTTAACTCATAAGAGTAAGTCTTCTAGCTAGTGAAGTTCCAAAGGCTACCCCAATGGTTGAATGATATACAAAATGCACATTGAGTAATTTGATTTTCTGTGTTCCGTCTCTAAAGCATCAGAAGCTAATGCTTGATAGCAATATAATCTCATAATTTATACATGATTTCATCTCTAATTCACAGGAGAAGACTTCAGGATGACAGGGCATGGTAAATAGTATCATAAGAAGATACTGATAATTTATCAAAAGATAATGACACTACACACTTTAAAAAACATACACACACTTTCAGCATACAGACTTAATTTAGCTGCTCTGTTAAGTGTAAGCAAGCAGATGTTAAAAATAAACTGGTTCTTTCTACTTTATTCCTGTGTCTTCAATTTAGATTTCAGTGCTTATTTCTATTCTTAGAGTTCCATATATTGCCTCACTTTCTTTATGTGAAAGCTCTTTCTGCATGGTTGAGCACAACTGCTCTCCTGCGGCCTTTCTGTATGTTCCTTAACCCTCTTAACAGCGCTGGCTCTTTTTTAATCCTGAAGAATAATTTACTACTTAAAAACTCTTTTAAAAGCCTTATTCAAACAAATTTTCACAGATATAACCATTTGAGTAAACAAGCTATGCATTTTATGTTTGAGTCATTTTTGACCCAGGCGTATGGATGCTTTAGGACTTTAGATGTTATAAATAATTTATTGCAACCTTTCAGTTTAAGAAAGAATTATCAGCCCTCCTGTGAAAATCTGTGTTGTTTACTAGAGATATCTTTTCAATACATTTTCAAAAACACATTTAATAAAAAAATTATTTTGTCTTTGCCATGACAGTGCACAATGTTTTACTGGAAGTAGATTTAAAATTAGTTTAAAAGCTTAACTTAATTAGGTTAACAAGGCAAGTTAGATTAATTAGACAAATCATTGGTCAACTCAAAGAATTTGTTCTGTTGCCGGAAAAAAAAAATTCTTAAGGAGGCTAAAAATATTGACCTTAGGAGTTTTTCTCTTTAGAAAAAAATGTGATCAGATACAGTTGAAGTCAGAATTATTAGCCCCCTGTTTATTTTTCCCCTGAATTCCTGTTTAATGGAGAGAAGATTTCTTCAACACATTTCTAAACATTATAGTTTTAATAACTCATTTCTAATAACTAAGTTATTTTATCTTTGCCATGTTGACATTACAAAATATTTTACTAGATATTTTTCAAGACACTTCTATACAGCTTAAAGTGACATTTAAATGCTTGTCTGGCCACAAATGGTTAATTAATTTAACTAGGCAGGTTAGGGTAATTAGGCAAGTTATTGTAAAACGATGGTTTGTTCTGTAGACAGTGGGAAAAAATAGCTTAAAGGGGCTAATAATTTTGACCTTAAAATGGTTCATAAAAATTTTTAAACTGCTTTTATTCTAGCTGAAATAAAAAATATGACTTTCTTATCAGACAAACTGTGAAAATGTCCTTGCTTTGTTAAACATCATTTGTAAAATATTTAAAGAAAAAAAATCAAAGGGGAGCTAATAATTCTAACTTCAACTGTATAATGTGAAAATTTCCTTGGTTTTTTAAACATAACTTAAATTTCATAATAATATTCAAAAATCTGTTTCCGTATAACTCATGCTCTTTTGGAATCTTTGTTGATAAACATTTGTTATTTTGATGTTTTGTCAAAATAAAACTATGAACATTAATTAAATTTGAACAGTTTGAATACATTTTCGGTATTCAATTTGTTCCAATTGTTATGCTGGTCATTCTAAGATGCCAAACTATGTTCTTAAAAATTTCCAACAATAGTCTAGTAGTCAAATGAAATGTCTCATCAATATTGACAGCTGTAATACTGTCCGTCTGAACTGAAAGCATAAATGTAGGTTATGTGCTGCCAGACTCTGGCTGAACCGCACATCTGTGGCACTTCATTGACTGTAAATGTTTTAGCAGTTTGTCTACACATGCACTTACTCGAATACCAGCAGCACATGCACTCACTTTATGGCAACCTGCCAGAATAACAGCTTGCTGGTTTTAGGTTTAAAAAAATTATGAAGTTCTTATTTAAAGGAATGATCAAAATGTAAAAAATAGTTTATATTTTACAGTATATGACAGTTTTTGCAGTAGTATTATAACACTTTATTTTATATAAAGAAACAAAGTGATAGGTTATTTTACTGTAAGGTTTCATTAATGGGTTTACTAACATGGACTAATTAGAAGCAATACTTGTACGGCATTTATTAATTATAGTTCAACATTCACTATTGCATTATTAACATCCAAATTCATGCTTGTTACCATCAGTTAATGCACCATGAGTTAACAAGAACTAACTGAACGACTCTATTCATTAACTAACGTTAACAAACATTTAAACAATCTATATTTTTGCATTTTCACAATACTTAATTTTCTGTGATTTATAAACATTTACAAACAGAGACCCTCGATTTTGGTCCCCATATAATAAGTCTGTGCATTTAGTCTCCGCAGAGATAAAATCGAGTACATTCTCACACACACATACATTCATCCATCCATCCATGGGATAATTCACCCAAAAAGGAAAATTCTGTCATTATTTACCCATCCTTCACTTGTTCTAACCCTCTTTTACAAACACATAGGAAAATATACTGAAGAGTGTTCTGGGGGAAAAAAAAAACAGCCATTGTAATGTAGAAAAAACAACAACAAAATAAGAGGTCAATGGCTGTTTTTTTTTTTTAAACCAACATTCTTCAGTGCGTAAGTAAATGAGAACATTTTTATTTTTGGGCTTAGGGTTGTACGATATTTATAAAACATGCAATACTGTTGTTGAGGGTTGAGATAATTATTAAAAAAAACACTTATTTATTCATGCAATGACCACTCTAAAATAATCAGGTGATAGATATTTTGCAAGGCCAATTAAATAAAAAATAATAATAATAAAAAACATTTAGACTTATAAAACCATTTTGAATGACTGAAACAAATGACAAATGACTAAAAACCTCATTGGAAATTGTGATTGTGTTGTCATTTTCCTGTCTTGTCTCCTGGGGTCCGTTCTTCATACCTTGCATAAAAAAATCAAAGATGATTTGCCAAATCCTGGATCTTTTAATCTTAATAACTGATCTCTGGCTAATTTGGTTCTTCAGACAAGACTTCATGAATCAGATTAAAATGTCTGGATGAACTGATCTGAGGTCTCTGCAACTGTTGTGAAGGACAGATCTATCAATCTTCAAAATTATGATCAGCAATGCAACGATTGGCTGACGGCAGAGCAGCGTAATGACATCATCTGATTAATATTCAATTATCCACATAAGCAAAATTATATAAAATTTGCAGTAAACGGTTTGTTAAATGTAATACACAATAACTTTCCACTTTTGTTGTGGTCTGCAGGCTTTACACTTTCATGTGTCAAGAGTATGTAGCAATTAATTCAGTTTTACATTTAGAGCAAATTTTCTTTATTATAGTAGGCTAGGCCTATTTAAGTTTCTT